CAATCAAGAACCCATTAGATGCCTTCAGGTCAATAGAAACAAAAAGAAGAACACATTAGAGCTTTTCTATATAAAAAGCTACAACATCAAGTCCTAATACAGAGGCAAATCAAAATACTTAAAGGGCTACTTCAAGGTCAAATGGAAGAGGAAGAGAGTCTGGTCTCCCTTGCTTGGGCCACAGTCCATCCATAGCGATATCCATATGCACACTTGACAGGAAGATAAATTGTAACAGATAAAAACTAAAAAAATTTTAAACAGCAATATGAAGTCATATTTGAAATTTTAAAAAATTTAGGAAAGATTTTAAAGAAGTTTGATTTTATGTGGAAGGCTCATAGTTTTTAAATTAAGTTTATTCATAAAAAATAAGGTAATTTGAGGTAATTTTAAAAATCGGTTTCCTTTTAAATACTAAAACATTTCCACTGTGGCATCAAAGCCCCATTCTACTCTAGTCTGAACTCAACACCCACTTGTAGTATGATTAATACTGGATAATTTGCCAGATTCCTGTTGGGATAGTTTAGTAATGTTAGGGTGACTTAGGGATATTGCTGGCATAAGAACCTCTGCGGATGTGACAGTCTGCATAGGTGTGGCTGTTTTCCAAATGGTAAGGGCATTCCAAGGGGCAGGGGGACTTGAAACCTTTTTTTTCTTGGGTTGGAAAACTGCTCCAGGGCTGCAATCAGGAACGCCCAACCTGGTGGGAAACTAGCCTGGCAGAAATCCCAAATTTAAGGTCTTGTTTAGCTTTAGGCTAGAAATAGCTTTGCTGAGATTATTGTGCACCTGAATATCTTAATCTTTATAAACAATCTTTAAAGTTTGCCTGTGGGATATCTTTAGAACATGTTTGTTTGTATGATTTACAATAATCTTTTGGTCTGGGGATGAATAAATACAAGTGAGGAATTACTCTTGGGACTCTTGGTCTGGAAAGCCTTGAGTCCCCTACCTCACTCTTTCTCTTCTACTGTCTCTTTTCTTATTCCTGCGCAACGCCCTGTTTTCGGCCCTGTTGGCTGGGAATTCCTGGCAGATTCCCATGTGCACCTTCAGGTGATGCCCCAATACAAAGGAAAAAGGACTCCCAAGTAAACCAATTTGCCAGAACAGCTATCAGTATCCCTTTTTCCTGCATTAGAATTAAACAATAAAACCAGATTATCTAAAAATCACCTCATTTCAACCCAAGTCAAAGATAAATTCAGGCCAGGCATGGTGGTTTACACCTATACTGCTAGCATTTCAGGAGGCCAAGGGAGGAGGATCACTTGAGGCCAGGAGTTCAAGACCAGCCTGAGCAAGACCCTGTCTCTACAAAAAATAGAAAAATTAGCCAGGCATGGTGGTGCATGCTTGTAGTCCCAGCTACTAGGGAGGTTAAGGCAGAAGAATCACTTGAGCCCAGGAGTTTGAGGTTGCAGTGACTTATGCAGTATACAGTGAGCTATGAGTGCACTGCACTCTAGGCTGGGTGACAGAGGGAGACCCTGTCTCAAAAATAAATAAATAAATAAATTCAATGAGACTAATGCTGAATCCTGATTAATATTCAAAAAATATTACTTATGGAGTTTTTTAAACATGATATAGATTGCATATGAAGGCATAACATTAACCTTCAGAGACCTAAGTATAATTGTTCTAATTGAAAACTGAGGTGGGGCCAAGCACAGTGGTAATCCTAACACTTTGGGAGGCCGATGCAGGAGGAT